TCATTAACGATCTGGATGATGGGATGGATTGCACCCTCAACAAGTTCGCGGATGACACTAAGCTGGGGGAGAGGTAGATACGCTGGAGGGTAGGGATAGGGTCCAGAGTGACCTAGACAAATTGGAAGATTGGACCAAAAGATATCTGATGAGGTTCAACAAGGACAAGTGCAAAGTTCTGCACTTAGTACAGAAGAATCCCATGCACTGCTACAGGCTGGGGACCGACTGGCTAAGCAGAAGTTCTGCAGAAAAGGACCTGGGGATTACAGTGGATGAGAAGCTGGATATGAGTCAGCCATGTGCCCTTGTTGCCAAGAAGGCTAACAGAATATTGGTCTGCATTAGTAGGAGCATTGCCAGCAGATCTAGGGAAGTGATTATTCCCCTCTATTTTGCACTGTTGAGGCCACATCTGGAGTATTGCATCCAGTTTTGGGCCCCACACTACAGGAAGGATGTGGACAAATTGGAGAGAGTCCAGTGGAGGACAATGAAAATGATTAGAGGTCTGAGGCACATGACTTATGAGGAGTGGCTGAGGGAACTGGGCTTGTTTAGTCTGCAGAAGAGAAGAGTGAGGGGGGATTTGATAGCAGCCTTCAAATACTTGAAGGGGGGTTCCAGAGAGGATGGAGCCCAGCTGTTCTCAGTGGTGGCAGATGACAGAACAAGGAGCAATGGTCTCAAGTTGCAGTGGGGGAGGTCTAGGTTGAATATTAGGAAACACTATTTCACTAGGAGGGTGGTGAAGCACTGGAATGGGTTACCTAGGATGGTGGAATCTCCATCTTTAGAGGTTTATAAGGCCTGTTTTTTAAGGATGTAATAGGTGTTGGTTCTGCTTTGAGCAGGAGGTTGGACTAGATGACCTCCTGAGGTCTCTTCCAACCTAATCTTCTTTGTTTCCAAAACTGGTGATCAGCCTAGCCCCTGGCATTATAGGAGACCCAGCACACCTATGTAACGGTGGAATGGGTGAGGGTGAAACAGGAAGCCTACAAAGACTTCCCATCCCAGGAAGTTGCTTAAACTCATCCAGTGTCCCCTCACCCCACTACAGGAGAGGAGCCAATAACACTGTCCTCCACCTCCCCCATCATCCAGAAGGAGTGGCGGTGGGTAGGACAAGTCCCAGCACCTGGATGATAGAGGATATATCTACACTTGGAGCTGGGGGTGTGATTCCCAGCTTGAGACTACATACTTGTGCGAGCTTTGATCAAGCTTGTGTGGTAAAAATAAAAATCATACCCTCAGCTCCAAGTGTAGACATATCCAGAGACTTTCTTGCCTTTCCCTTTCTTGGCACCATTGTGAGGAAGAGGAAGGTGAAGGGGAGAAGTCCCAAACACACCAAGGTAGTGAGATAGCAAGGTAATGATTAGCAAAAACAAACAAACAAAAAAACCAACCAAAAGCCAGCCACAACAACCAAAACCACGTTGGATGCTGGACACAGATATACCATCATATTCAAAGAATGTATACTAAAGCAAAAACAACAAGATGCATCTGAAGAAGTGAGATTTTTTAGCCACAAAAACTTATACCCAAATAAGTCTGTTAGTCTTTAAGGTGCCACTGGACTCCTTGTTGTTTTTGTGAATAACATGGCTACCCACTGATACTATGCTAAAGCATTAACCTCACTTTTCAAACCATTTTGTAGAACGGACAAAAGAAAAAGAATCAAATTACATGATCTTTTTTTTAAAATGGACATAGTCCTACTTCTAGGGTTGCCAGGTTTCTACTCGCACAAAACCGAATATCCTTGCCCCACCCCTCCTCCAAGGCCCCGCCCCCCCACTCACTCCATCCCCCCTCCTTCTATCGCTTGCTGTCCCCACCCTAACTTGCTGATTTTCACTGGGCTGGCTCAGGGGGTTGGGGTGCGGGAGGGTGTGAGGGCTCCAGCTGGGGATGCGGGCTCTGGGGTGGGGTTGGGGATGAGGGGTTGGGAGTACAGGAGGGTGGTCTGGGCTGGGACTGAGGTTTTTGGAGGGAGGGAGGTGGATCAGGGCTGGGGCTGGGGGTCGGGGCATGGGAGGGGGTCAAGGGTGCAGGCTCCAGGCAGTACTTACCTCAGGCGGCTCCCGGAAATGGTGTCATGTTCCCCCTCTGGCTCCTATGCAGAGGCACAACCAGGTGGCTCTACGTGCTGCCCATCCGCAGGTGCCACTTTGCAACTCCCATTGGCTGGGATTCCCAGCAAATGGGAACTGCAAAGCCAGTGCTTGGGGTGGGGGCAGTGTGCGGAGCCCCCTGGCTGACCCTATGCATAGGAGCTGGAGGGGGGACATGCCGTTGCTTCCAGGAGTCATGCGGAGCCCCAGCAGGCAGGGAGCCTGCTTTAGTCCTGCTGTGCTGCCAACTGGACTTTTAACAGCCTGATCAGTGGTGCTGACCAGAGCCGCCAGGGTCCCTTTTCAACCGAGTGTTCCGGTCAAAAACTGGATACCTGGCAACCCTACCTACTTCTGAAGCAGACAATTTTAATTTGACTCCCTGAAATTCAAGTAACTGCATTATTCAGTATTCCTAACAATTCCTCGTTAAAGCAGTTTGCACTGGGCAACGTTATAAGGTTTTGTGTCACTCTGCGACTTATGTTTATCTAGACTTTGCAGTTATTTTGATGGTTGTACATGAAATAATATATTTACACTCAAGAGCATGTTGCTTGTCTTCTTGATAGATATCTGTGGACTGTGAACATTATTGTACTAGGTTTCACTTCATGAATGTATGAGTGAAACTCTTTCACAAGTACTTATGAGAAGTTGTAGTTTTGATCAGAAGGAAAAAAGGATTATTTTTGTTGATGAAAATGGCTCTTAACTGCAAACATAATGAAATTTCACTTTGGACAAAATCATGAGTTTTCTTTAGTGCTGTGAGAGGGCTGCTGCTTCCTGAGTGGTTCCTGGTGACCAGAATTCCCTTTGAAGCAGCCTCCCTCTGTTCTCCCTCTTCAGAGCCCCGTAAAGGCTCCCCACAACTTTTCTTATCAGTCCTACCGCTTTTTACTTGGGGCTGGTTTGCAAAGCCATCCAAATAGTCCCACCAGTAAAGTCTATCACTGCAATCCAAAGGTTCACACTTATCTCTGGCTTTTCTGCCATGCACACAGAGCTCTTCCTGCCACAGCCTGCTCTTCAGGGTCACTTCTCATAACTGTCTATTCCTTTTGGTTTAATTTTCTGGCTCTTGCTTGCTTCTCTGACCATTGTCTCCCCTGTTCTGCAGGAGAAGGTAGTCTACATACTGTCCTCCTCCTGACATATTTGTTCATGGTTGGGGTAGGGCAAATTGAATATGAAGGAGGTTTAGTTGTTGATTAGTTTAATCTATTTGTTGCAGTGGGCTGTCTCTCTCTTTCAATAAAACTGTTCTTATTCCTGTTTTTGCTAAAAATGGTGATGGTTACTATGGAAAGCATTCTGACTACTGATTTCTACAGGAGATGTGTGATTAGCATTTCCTTTCTTTGGTTCGGGGAATATAGTTAGAAGTTGGCCAATGAAAATACATGCTTGCAAGAAGACCATAGCACATACATTTGAAATCTGAGCCAGACTAATGTGTAGTACATTATTTTATGGTTTCCTTGAGAAAATATTGAATAGCTCCAACTTTAACAAGATGCGGCCACCAGAATTTTAATTTATACAAAGTAGACTTAGTATATTATTCCAGCCTTTGGGAGCTATATTGGCTCCTTCTCAGATATCAATTTGGCCTTAAAAATATTTTAATGAGTTATTAGGTGGTGAACAATTTAGGATCTGTGTATTTTTTGTCTGAGTTGTAGTATCAGTACAAGCTTAGTTGCTGCTTGAATCATCTGACGCTATTGTACTGACTATTTCAAAATTGGGATTTATTCCCATTTGAATTTTGAAATGTCACCTCAGGAGACCTATTTAAATCTAAATGTGTCTTATGGTCTATAAAGGCATAGTACTTTTGCATATTGTAAAATGCCCTGGGATGCATTTGCATGAAAGGCGCTATATAAGCTCATTTTGTATTACATTGTATTGTATTGTGACAAGTGCAATAATCTCCAGGTTTCCTATCCATTAAAGAACTCATTTCACAGCTCACTAATTATGTGAATGAGAAGGGGAAATAGGTCCTTTTTCTCTAAGGTATGGTGAGCAGATGGCAGAGTTCATTTCTACTGGCTGAGTCTGAGGTCCTCTTCTCAGTTTTGGTGGCAACACTTGCCACTGTTTATCAAACAAAATGAAAGAGACATATTGGTTTCTTTGCAAGGTGTACTGTGTCGGTTGAGTGACTAGCTCAATACTGTTGTTAGCATGATGCTGGTTAGCATTTACTGGGCATAAAAAGGCTATTTATTTCCACGGGCACAAGATAACAATTAAAATTAATATGAATTTTAATGTAAATCTGAATTGCCTCTCATTTATGGGAAAAATTGGTCAAGTCAACCCTAGGGATTAAACTGAGTTCCTAAAAAGTGATTAGTGAATATGCTGAGCACCTTTGGGATTGTATCTTCTCTGTAATTCTAAAATAGAAAACTATTATTATTTTCACTGCCTGTGTATGTTCCTTCTTAGCTGAGACCTTTGTAATCTTTCATTTTCCTCCTCACCCAAGAGAATAACTTGCTCGTTGACTTATACATGCATAGTGTGATTTATATAGGCCCCTAAGGTACTTCTTTTTTAATATTATAAACAAGTCATCTTAGTTGTCAGAGCTCTGTAGTGATCCCAGATAGCATATAATTGGGCCCTTACATCCGGATTAAAAAAGAAAAGCTAAAATTGAAGAGGTTGACATTTCTGATGTAGGAACTTGGTAACTATGTTTTATTTGACAGTGCTGCACAGGCAGTCATATTGTTTTCTCCCTGCATTATAACAAACAGCAGGACAGATTTTTTCTTTCTCTCTTTTTTTTATTCTCTGTCATGCACTTTCAATTTTGTGTTCACTGCATTGATTTCATTCTAATTTCAGACGGACGCAGCTTTAATGTATGATGCAGTTCATGTGGTGTCAGTGGCTGTCCAGCAGTTCCCACAGATGACTGTCAGTTCATTACAGTGTAATCGGCACAAACCATGGCGCTTTGGGACCCGCTTTATGAGTCTCATTAAAGAGGTATGTCTTTAATAAAATATGTTCTGGTTTCTTCTTACCCCTACCCACATCCCATCTTCCCCCCACCCTTAGTCTACTTTAATCCCCCCCCAGCAGGTGGGATTATTTCTGCTTGTTGTGTGGGGGGAGACTTGCAGTCAAAGCCTCATTTACATTTAAAAACTGTTCATATGGTTGTTCATACAGGAACAATTTATAAATATAAAAAACACGAAAGGGTGAAAGTACTGCACTGCAAATAGACAAAATGAAATGTTTTGCTGATCGATGTTTCTTGGAACTTCTGTGATGCTAAAATGATCATAGAGGCAAATATGTAATAAATAATTTGAAAAGCAAAATTCTAGCCTATATTCCTTGGTCCACCACTTCCCAGGCAACTTTACCTCCACCTTTTCCACTTTAATCTGTTTGGTATTTATTCTGTACAGCTCTGGTAATGTAAAAATCTATAGGCTGGATTATTTTCTTCCATAAATGTCTTTAATTTATATGTTTTGCCTCAATGTAACTTCTCTTGGATTTTTATTTAACATTTAGTACTTATACAGTCATGGATAATTTAAGATGTTGAGGGTCAACACTGTACACTGTTCAAATATGTTGTCCCATAAGTGCCTAGCTCTGAATTTTCCGTTGTAAGTAGAGGAGATACTGTGGGAAAGAGAAATATAGCAGTGCAGTAAATTTCCATTTTTAACAGTGCCTACTTGCAAGATCATAAATTGCTTTTCTGACATCTCCTCCTGAATGCTTTCACTATAACAGATAATATTGGGAGTGTAATATACTTCTTATTTCCAATTATTAACAATGACCATGCTTGCAGAACGCATTAATGGCAACATTTGGCTCTACCACTTAAAAATTGTCATCTCTAAGTTATAAGAAAATAATATATTGTGCCTTCTAAAATTAAGCATTCATTTCTGATAGGTGCTAACTCAGGTCCCATAAATGTCATAGCTGATGGAACTAGGGGTCCTGGGAGTGCTGCCGCACCCCCAGGCTTGAAGTTCTTTCCATTATATACAGGGTTTACAGTTTGTTTAAATGGCTCTCAGCACCCCCACTATAAAAATTGTACCAACACCCTGTCAATGCCTGTTGTCTCAAAGGGATTTGAGGCTTAGCACCTCACAGCATCAAGACCTTATTTGCAGAAAAGAAAAATGACAGAAATTAAACAAATTTAGTACATATAGTGGGGAAAATAAAAATGGTAATTATAAATGTCTGAGGCGAGTTAATGGAAACAGTCTTTCATCACACTAAGTGAGACCACTTTTATTGGCTAAAATGGAAGGCTGTTAAGAAATTGTGTACAGAGATTAAAGAAAGGTTGGTTTAATTAGGAAAAACCCTGAGAATCTCAGAAATGAATATGAAATTATTTTATCTTTAGATCAGCCACGAGGTGAATTATTTAAATGTAATGAATAATTAATCTTCCCATTTTGGTAGAAATTAATTTTTTGTTCTTTTTTTTTTGGCTTCTTATTTATGGAAATTATTTTTCTTCTTTCATAGGCCCACTGGGAAGGTCTCACAGGCAGGATAACTTTCAACAAAACCAATGGCTTAAGGACAGATTTTGATTTAGATGTGATCAGCCTCAAGGAAGAAGGTCTTGAAAAGGTACTTGAGATGTTCATCTTATTTGCTTGGAGAATAATGTGAAATATTAAAAAAAAATACTTTCCCTATATGAGAAAGCTATTTATACCATGTTACAACTGCATCATATTGAATGTAGGTGCATATTTGTGCTCTTAAGAAGGAGGTAGCCTTTAATAACCTTACAAAAACCCCCCCAACCTCTTATGTTTATGATGGAAATAAAGAGCAAACTCACAATTAGGAAGTATAGGTAAAGTATTACTTAGGACAATTTAAGCATTTTGTTTTGGGCAATGTACTATACTAGAACTATGGGAATGTGTACTGCCTTAATTTACTAGGGTCTCGATACCATTATAATTAAGAAACACTTGAGTTTTGCTCTGAATATTTGTGTATACAGTTCAGATCCATAGAGATTACAGAATATCAATCACCAGACATAAATATAAATAATCAACATATAACCATAGAACAAGTACCAAAAAATGTTAGAGTAGCATTTTTAAGTGTAACAAGTTAAATGCTTAAGGCTTGGTCTACACTAAACCCCCAAATCGAACTAAGGTACGCAACTTCAGCTACGTGGATCACGTAGCT